GGGGTAAGTAGGACAGCCTGGCTGGCCCCTGCAGTCTCTTCCCGCTAGGCTGCATCTCCCCATAGACCTGGTCTTCAGACACCTCTCACCCCGCCGCTCCATGGTCTGGGTTTCATTTAACACCTCCACCAGGTCTGCACAGTTCTCGCACATCATTTAACCGCCGCCCTCCATGAAAGAAGCCCTCTGACTCATAGTGACCCTGTATTAAACCTTTTCTAATCATTCTGTTCTCTCTGTTCCCTTAGAGCCTAGTTCATAGCTGAGCTCTAGCATTTATCCAGTGTTACTGTAGTTTATCTCTTTTTCATATCTACTTTCCTCTCCTAAAGGCTTCCCAGATTACCCCTCCGCCTCACTAAGTGTGAACTCCTTTCTCTCTCTATATATATAACTTTGTGTGTGTTGTATTTGTTGCTCCACTCTAATAGTTATTGGGCATTTATTTTATGTCAAGTACTGCTTGAAGCACTGAAGGTTCGGAGCTGTATAACCTATCATTATGAAGTTAAAATTTCTAGCAAAAGCAATGGAATAATAAAGAAAAACAAAAATAACTGTAAGTGATCAATTCAGACAACATGAGATATTTACTGGGTGATTAATTTAATTTGGGTGATCAGAAAAGACATCACTTGAAAAATGATACCTAAACTGAGTCTCATAAAGAAATCCATTTGAGACCATCTGATGGGTAATATTGTATGAGACAGAAGGAATTGGTGTTGCACAGATCTTAAAGAAAGAGAGAGAGCTTGGCATTTCTTAGGAACAGAAATAGATAATCAAGTGTAAGCAAAAGGGAAAGTTGCAGTAGATGAGATTAGAACAGTACAAAGGGAACACAGAACACCTAGGGTTTTGAAAGTCATAAGAAGTTAAGGCTTTATCCTAAATGAAACAGTATGCTATTGGAAAGCTTGAGACCAGTGAGTGACTGGATCCGATTTGTGTTTTATAAAGATAAACCAGATGATTCAATTATGAGACTATTTTACTCTTTGAGGGAGCCATGATGTGGTTTGCAACAGATTATAGAACTCATGAGAGAAATAGAGAGTGCCATAGGAGGGATAGCTGGTGTCAGACTGGGTAAAGAAAGCTGGAAGATGGAGGCACTGCCGCCATCTGCTTTGTAGGAAATAGCATTGGCCTTCTGTCGTACTTAATTCTTCTTTCCCCTTGTGAAATAAGAAGAGGTCAAACTCTGCTTCTATGCTTTTTACAGAGAGGGCTTAAAATTCCATTATCTTTTAAATTCCATTTTCATACTTTTTGAAGCTCCCTTGTATGTTCATGTGTGTAAGTAGTATTGTTGTTGTGTGCCTTTGAGTCAGTTACTACTCATAGTGACCTTGTAGAACAGAGTATAACTGCCTTATAGTGTTTGCTGCTCTGAAATATTTAAGAAGAATGCCAGGTCTTTTCTCCCGCAGAGTCA